CTGGAAATAGGCGGAAGTCGCCCCGGATCATGCATGGGAGGCTAATTGAAAAGATCAGTTGGAGCACTTGTAGCAGACCTGTCACTTTGTGACAGTGCTCCGCTCTTGGATATGGCATCGCCACGACAAACGGGAGCGGGATAAAAACGACCCTTTCTGTCCGGATTTGGGTATCACTCCGACGAGAGTGAATTCGCCTAGCTTTCCCTTCCAGGAGAAGCGGCTTTTTAAGGTGGTAGCCACAGGGTCAGTCTGGACACCACCGAAGGGGCGCGCTGCCTCGGCGATAAATCCGAAGTGACAAGAGTTGGAGGAAGCAGTGGGGAGAGAGGAGAGGAGGAGGAGGGGAGGGCGCGGGCTGGGAGGAGGGGAAAGTGAGTCTTCTTGTAAAGGCCACTGGAGAAACTGACTAGCCATGGCTGCAAAAAACCTCTAACGGGGGGAGAAACAGCGGCTCTCTTGGCTTCTGGGATGGAGTTGCTGACCAGGAAGGACCTCAAGAAAAGCAGCTTGAGGAGGGGGGGGGAATCCGATGCCCTCTTTTCTCCCCCTCTCGCCCTCCCTCCACCAAGTGCTTGTTTCCTGGAGAGCCTTTATGCTCAACCCCGACACCCAAATCCTCTCTTTCTCCCCTTCCCCCGTTGGCCTGGACTGCAGGGAAATCTTGGTCGTCCCTTCCCCCCCCCCCCCCTGCGGAGGCCTGAGACCACAATCGGCCTCAGGGCAGCGCGTCTTAAGTCCATAGCTGAGTTCTGAGGAGCAGCAGCAGCAGCAGGTGCCCCCTTCTGCTCCCCTGAGAGCGGGGAGGGTGGGTGGGAAGGTTTCCATCGCCACTGGGTGCTCGGAGCTCTTGGGCCTACGAGGCGCACAGAGGAGAGCTCTTTTTTTCCCCCTAAGCCTCCACATCCCAGTCTCCCCCCAACGCAGAAGCCGATGGAGGCCGTTCTCCCGCATTCCGGAGAGGCGGAGACGCCTTTCCTCAGCCCAACTTCCAAATTCCGCGTAAAAAAGGTTAAGCCTTAAATCAATGCCTTAATTTCCCAGGAGAAACGCCGGCAGTTCGAGCCCAGTGGCCATGATTATGCGCCTCGGCTTCCTGGGCGAGCCATCTAAGGGGAAAACATATGGTCTCAATTGGGATGCGCCGCGCTGCAGACACGCAGCAGTTCTCCGCACAAAGCCGGCAAAACCGGCCGCGACCTCCACCCAAATCAACCCGGCGGGCTTTTTTTTTTTCTTTCCCTTCCCTTCCTGCGGGTAGGGTGGAGGAATGGGGTCGGGAGGGAAATCTAGTGCAAAGGCATTTGCGATTCCCAGGAAAGAGGGGCCCGCGTTGTCTAGGGAGGCCCGGGCACATATGGGGTACCGGTCTGTCTCAAGGCGGCCTTATCAGAACCGTCTCAAGGGACGAGTCGCAGGAAAAGCTTCATCGACGCTACCCCAGCCCAGCCACGGAGGGACTCCCGAAAGGAACCCGCAGATAAAAGTCAGCGCCACGGACCTCGGAAACTCAGACCCCAAACAGGCCTCGGGGCGCATTAGCACAGAAAGAGACCCCGCGGTTGGGGGGGGGTTGCTTCCCCCCCCCGCCCAGTCGGAAAGTACACACCTAAGCGAGTTTGGGGCTCAGAAAAAAAATGGCACAAACCCCCCAAGAACCAAAGGAAGCTGAGACCGCGAGCCGAAACGCGTTGAACCTTGGACTTCATCAGGAGTGGCGCTGGGTTGGAGCAGCCCGTGTAGGGCCTCTGTAGCCGGGCCGGAGCTTTTGCGGGACTCCTTAGAAGAAAGCCCCGCTGGGCTCAGTGGGGGTTACTTCCAAGCCGGCTTCCGAAAGCCAAGGACGTGTCAATAGACCCGGGTTACGCGCAAGAGCGAGCGAGTCCAGCGAAGAAGAGAGGAGAGGGAAGCAAAGCTATATTGAGCTTCGGATCCCGCGACCGAGTCTCGGCTGCACTTCTCTCCAAGGAAATCCCGACGGAGTTTGCATACTAACGAGCTATCTTTAGGATTTAGAAGCTCAACCGAATAACAACAACCGGCCAGGGGTGCGGGGTTACAGTAGGCTTAAAACAAACACGGCGCGCTTAAGATGGGAATCGCTTGCAAAGACCTCTCAACATTATTTTACCGGCATAACTTTTTGGAAAAAAATTGGGCGCCGTCCATCTTAAGGGATCAAGTCTACCTTGATCTCGGGATCAAGAACTTACTCGCCTTCCCGGCACGCTGCACAACAGGAGCTATTTTTCCAAGTCCCAGGAACATCCGGGATAGCAACTTTCCCACCAAGATAAGGCTGGAGAGCTGTCCGGCTCTCCTCTCCGGTCATATCTACCTCCAAACAAATAAAGTCGCGTTGCGCTTAGCACGGCTTGCTGCCAGAAGGCTGGCTTGTCTTATTAAAGGCTAAGCGTGTTTGTTTATCGGGCGAAAGAGTGCCATCGGGTTTTACAGAGTGCCCTCCATCCTGGGGCTGAGTCCCTCGCCACAAGGTGCAGAGCTGCGCGCAAAATCACGGCCCTGCGGAAATCCGGAAGCGGGTTTATAGAATAGCGGGGAAGTTGATCATTAATTCTCGCGCTGAAAGCACCTGTGCTCCACCCAATTCCCCAGGAAACGACGCGGCCCGGGGTGGGCTGGGAGTAAATTGTTTGAGAAACAGATTTGGGAAACAAATATCCGGGTGACTCCTGGCACTTTCCCCCCCCCCCCAAAGCTCGGCTCCCCCCTTCCTAGTGTCAATGTCACTAGGGATTCCCTCCAGCGTGCTTTGGAAGGGCCTGGGCGAGGGTGTTCCCCTTCGCAGGGCCGTCCACCCAGATCAAAGAGAGAGAGAGTCCCGGAAGGAAGGCACTAACTAGCCCTTTCAGCTGGCGACTGGGAACGGCCCTCTCGAGATCTGGGGCGGTGTCTTCTCAGCCCCCGCCGCACTTTTAGGCTACCTCGGCGCTTTTCAGTTCCAACTCCGTGCCTAAAATACACTTAACGAGTCAGGGGTTCCAAACCAGCAAACCATCTTTGCTCAGTTGATGCCTTTCCGCCTTGCGGTGGAGATCGCCCGCCCTGCCCCAGTCCTTCAGTCTAGCGGCCTGCCAACGTCCCCTTACCGTTTGTATCGTGCCTCTGTGCCTTTGCGCCAGAGAGGGTAGCTGACGTTTGTTTTTTAAAAAATAAAAATTTTTTAAAAAATGCATGATTCGGGAAATTCGTAAGGCCAGGGAGAAGTCGCTTTGGGTTTCGAAATAACATTCATTGCTAGGGCATCGGTAAAGAACTGCAACAGGCGCTGTTGTTTTCCTGGACACAGTTGGGTGTTTCTAGTTTGCTTTACTTTTGGGGTGTTGCTGGGGCTTATTCTGACAATATACCAAAACGGCGATGAGGTTACTGAGGTCTCTTCCAACCTTTTGCTTTGCCCTCCAGACTGATAAAACCATCGGGCCGGATCTAGCAGCTTCCATCGCTCTGGCATCACCACCACGCCTTCTTGGACAAATACCTTGCATGCTAAGGGGATTTCCTTCCAGGTTAATTAAAGTTGCACCGACAGATTGAGGATTTCAACTAGCTCACCTCTTTTTTTACTAGACCACAACAAACAGAGAGCCTTGCCACAATGCAATGAATCGGGTTTCTTTCTTTCTTTCTTTCTTTCTTTCTTTCTTTCTTTCTTTCTTTCTTTCTTTCTTTCTTTCTTTCTTTCTTTCCTTCCTTCCTTCCTTCCTTCCTTCCTTCCTCCCACCTCCCTCCTCCCCTCTTTTTCTAGTTTTAAGAAGTGCAAAAGTTACACAGGCCTTAGTGCTCCACTATTTTTTGCCAGAGAGCTATCATGCCCACCACTGAAGACTGCTGGGGAAAGGGATGGTGTGAAGTGGATAGGAATCCACAGCACTGAGAGTCAAGCAAAAGAGTCAGACTTCTAGAAATCTGCTTGTGTCAGGAAATAGCCTCCCCTCTTCACGCAGAGCATTATTCTCCCAATGCCCCCCCCACAGCACTCAGAAAGAATCCGCTTATTTGAAGGGCTGCTGAGGAATCCAGAAGCAGATGAATTTCAGAATGGGTCTATTGACAGCCAATGGGTTGTCAGTCCATAAAAATATATTCTTTCACCACCGTCTCCACTAGATGCAATTACAAGGAAGAAGGTTCTCCTGAGAGGGGTGGATTTTCACCTCTCCAGGATGTCTTGGCCTCCAAAATGTCCTTGAGGACAAAGAAGGAGAACCACCACACAGTGCTTTCCCCAAGTTCAAAAGCCCATCTCTTGTTGGAAGAGTCCAAAGAACCTCATTCATCCAATCTCTTTCAGCTTTCTCTTCCACTATGAAGAGTATTTTCAAAATGCACAATTTTCTCACTTCCCAGCCACCTTCACACCCAAGCCAAGCCAAACCACCTCTTCCAACTGTACATACTCAAGCTGGCATCCCAAAAGACAGGAAGAGCCACTTACTGTTCTGCATTGTGGACTGACGAAGCAAGATCCCACGTGGCTCGGGAAGAGGGCACTGTTAGTGATAAAATCAATATTAACCAAGGCAATGAAGCAGGTTGGCAGTTCCAGTATTATTATGTATAAGAAGTCATTCATTCTATGGCCCCCCTCAATTAAGGCCCCAAATTTATTAATTTATCATTTGTTTGTTCTGTCCCAACCCTGATTAATAACAAATCGCTGAATCATGCAAGATAAATCACATTCTGAGTAAAATCTTGAGCTCTCTCAGCACATCAGCCACCATGTGAGAAGAGAGGCTGGTCACTTTGAACCCCTAAGGAAATATGGACTCATTCACATTCTTGTGCTATGGGGGAACACAGGAGGAAGGAGGGAGGAGGAGGAGGAGGAGGAGGAGGAAGGGCTTGAAACTTGCCTGGTTTATGAGTGGACTCTCCTCTCATGCAATTTAAGGAACCGCACATCTGTGTAGTGCTGATTAAAGTCTTCCCACTAGGATGAAGAAGAAAAGTGTGTGAAAAAATAAAATTAGGGACTTTTTTAGTTTACATCCTTCCCTACATCCACCTGCCCCCTCCCCCCAATTAAAGAATGGGGGTATTCCTGAGAGTTTAAAGAGTGCAAAAAAGGTGGACACGTGAGTCTTTTGAACTGTTTTTCTTCCCAAGCGTGGACTGGGAAGATTCAAAAGACTCAGGTGTCCACCTTTTCTTCACTTTTTAAACTCTCAGGAACACCCCCATTCTTTAATAATATCGGGGTGCTTCTTGCAAGAATGCAAAATTTTGTCAGATGGCGTGTCTATATTTAAAAACAAACAAACAAACCCCCCAACAACTTGACTTTGAGTTGATTTTTATGGAAGCGACTATAACACATTCTTACTCTGATCTAACAGAACTTTCTGAGTCAAGGGACGCTTGCTGCCACATATAATTATAAGAACAACAACAACAATACTAAAAGGAAAAGAAAGACATTTTTCCCGGTTATGTGCAAATCTCTCACCTGAGGCATTTTAAATTGGTGGGAACTGTTACTTTTGGTGAGAAAAACCAAACATATGTATATATTTTTCCCAAGAGGCACTAACAATCGCTAACAATTTTTCAAGAGGCACTAACAACCCCATCCCCCCCTTTTTTTTCTCTGAGAGAGAAGAGAGCAACGAGAAGGGAAGGGAAAGAAGAGAGAAATCCACCCATTCTGGTTAACTTCTTTCTGGTCTTTAGATCTTCCCCCCTTTCACTGTACTGTGACACACGCTGTCTACCTCGCCTCACTGCTTTAAAAAGTAAGATCAGGAGGGGGTGAGAACTGCCAGCACAAAGCCTATGGAAGGCAAACAATGGCTTCCATTTTATTCCCCTCCCCGAACCTAGAGCGCAAGACCCAGCTAGCCTCCTCTTGCTCCGGCAAGGCAATTTCCACCTTAAGGTACCAACAGCCCTTCCACGTATAAAGAACGAGCCTTAGGCCTGCCTTAGCCCAGAACTAGGCAGCTGCGATGCCTGACTTCGGTGGGTGTTCATTCATTCCCCTTACAGCACTTCCTTCCTTCCTTCCTTCCTTCCTTCCTTCCTTCCTTCCTTCCTTCCTTCCTTCCTTCCTTCCTTCTTTCTTTCCTTCCTTCCTTCCTTCCTTTTTCTTTCTTTCTTTCTTTCCTTCCTTCCTTCCTTCCTCTTTCTTTCTTTCTTTCTTTCTTTCTTTCTTTTCCTTCCTTCCTTCCTTCCTTCCTTCCTCTTTCTTTCTTTCTTTCTTTCTTTCTTTCTTTCTTTCTTTCTTTTCCTTCCTTCCTTCCTTCCTTCCTTCCTTCCTTCCTTCCTCTTTTAAAAACGTTTTTTTTTTAACTAACAAACAAACAAGTTCTGTAGTTCCTGCTGGTGTGTGTCTGCATTTAATCCCAGCTCTTTCTTTTTAGGTTCCCAGCCTAGCAGGAGGAAAATAGAGAAGTAATTTCTCGTTATAAATATCTGGAGGTAATTATGTTACTGGTGCGAGTTGTTAAGGGTTGTAAAAAGATACAACAGCGCAGTGGGGTGCTCAATTGGGGTGAGACAATTACAATAAAGAAGCTATTCAAGAGGGGTTTTCTCTTTTTTTAAAAAAAAGAAGAAGAAGAAGAAGAAGGGGGGGGGAGAGGAAAGCGAGAGAGGTAAAGGAGATAAAATAATGAAACGGTGCTAGCTTTCATTTGCTTCGTCTCCTCCCACGTTCTCTCTCCTTGTTTACCTAGAAAGCTTTTGTTTTTCTCCCTGATTTTGTTTTAAAGAAAGCCTTTAAAAATAATAATAATAAAAAAATTCCTGGTTTGTTCACAGAGATTCCTTGCGCTCTGTTCTCCGGAGAAGAAAAAAAAAAGGGAAGCCAAGGCGGACGCGGCCCCAGAGTCCAAACTGGGCCCGGTTTGAAGGGATCTCCCGAAAGCCATTAAAAAACAAAAAAACAAGAAAGCGAACCGGCGACGCGCGGTGCCTTTCCCGCAGCGGGAAGGCGCTTCCGAGGGGGTAAATATTGACTCGGCTACCGAGAGGCACCCGGTTAGCGGCCTGGCCCATCTAGAGGAGAAGCTGAAGGGACCCCCATCCTCTCCATCTCCGTCTCCCGAGAAACTCTGCCCGGACACCCAGGGTCGCCGCTGGAGGAAGCCCTTCGCCTGCTGCAGACCGGGTTTAGAGGGCCAGGCTTGGCTCCACGCGGGAAACTTTGGCTTCTCGGAGCTCTACCGAACGGACAGCCGGCCGACCGACCCCGGCTCCTTCGGCCGCCCTCCTGGGGACCTGGGAAAGTCAGGCCGGGACTCAGCCAAGGCCAGGCGGCGTCCACGGGAAAAAGCAGGACCCTCACCCGGAATCCCCCATCGGGGAGCAGTTCTTTCTCCCTCTTGCCACGAAGCAAGCCAGTTTCTCCACGCGGGGTTTGGTGTTCGTGGAGAGGCGCCGCGGCGGCCGTCGCCAGCCAGTCCTCCGGCCAGTCCAGGTGTCCCCCCACCCCTGGGGCTCTACCTTTCCACCCTCCACCTTCCCCTTCCCCCTTTTCCGGTCGGTTAGGCCTAATTTGCGCCCGCCTTCCTTGAAAAACCGTCTCCAAATCGGGACCTAATCTGTCCGAGCGAGGGTGCCGAGTCTCCCTCCTGTTGGCGAGCATAATCAGCTCGGGAGACGATCAACGTTTGCAATCCCGGGACGAATCGGCGACGGAGAAAAACGCTAATCCAGTTGGCGTGGAGACGGATGCAGCTATTCAAAAGAAATATATTGCCCAAAAAGGGCTCCAGTTATTATTTTAGGCCTACGAGGGCCGTCGCCGAAAAGCTTCGCTGTTTTTAAGAACTCCAACCAGCCTGAAAACTTTCTTCTGCTTCTGCTCCCAGGGGTGGTGCTTGTGGTTGGTTCCCCCCCCCTCCACGGTTGTTGCTGTTGCCGTTGCCGTTGTTGTTTGGAAGCCGCGGGTCTGAAGGCGTTTTTAGCAAAAATCAGTGGATTTTTTCCCTTTCCCTTGAGAGACCTTCAAAGAAATCGCCGAGGGAAATGGCTTCTTCTTCCATTCTTTTAAGCGACCCGGTGGGCAGCGTTTCCGCGTGCAGGTTGGCTCAAAAGGAAGCACCATTTACTTTAATGGGATGCTTCCCTATCGGTGTTGTCTGAGCGTGAAGCTATACAGCCTTGAAGTGCTTGCGGAGGGAGGCGGCTCTCGGGGGCGGCAGAAAACTTTTCTAGGATCCTAACGTTGCACTGAATTTTCACCGGGGCTGGGAGAACCATTAAAGGGGGAAGGAGAGAAAAAAAAAAAAAAGCATCCAGGCGTACGAGGAGGAAACATTAATTTGAAAAAAAGCATCCAGGCGTGCAAGGAGGAAATATTAATTTGAAAAATCCAAGGGTTTCCTTTGCTTGCTTGAAATAGAAGCAGAAACTCGGTTTCGTTTCGAAACTTGATTCAGCAAGTTCTGGGTGGAGCGCAAAATTGAGGAGATTTCCGATTTCACAGAACCGGTAGTGAAAGGGGGTGCAGAAAGGGGACTGGATTCTTTTCTGATATTTTTTTTGTGTGTGTGTGTCCAGTTTCCCTTCCCCCCCCCCACCGCCCTTTGTTTTTGTTTAAACAGTGGGAACTTCTAAGCCAGGTGCTGGTCAAGTTAGAAAGTTCTGTCGGTTCCTTTTCTTCTGTGGCGGGGAAGTTTGGGGAGATCTCGGGGCGACTTGATTGAGAGTGACAGACCTTTAGCTCGCTCAGACCATCCCGGACACAGCAACTACTCAGAGCTGACTTGGCCTAGAAGGTGACGCTACAACCACCAATCCTCTCCCCCCCCCTCTTTCCTCCCCCCCCCATTTGCTTATCACCAGGCGCATGAATAAAAGATCCATAAATAAAGACCCCCAGGATTCCCCAAACGGGACTCCTTCCTCGCCCAAACACACAGGCGCCTGCATCTTTGGAATACAAAGCAAGAAAAGTAAGGGGGAAAGAGCTGGGGGGGGTGGGGTGGGGAGAGAAGACACCCACACTCGGACCGGTCCAGTCACCTCAGAAAGCAATCTATGAATGAGCTCCGGGCGGGCGCAGTGGAACAACAACAGCAAAACCTGGGGGGGGGGCGGTCAGATCCGCCAGGCACGTTCTGGGAGTCCCTACAAGCCTCGGAGCGAGCTCGTCGCCCTTCGTCAGAAGAGGCGAGTCTTTTGGAGGAGGGTTCTGTCCAGTCAAAGGCAGCTGGAGAGTCTGGGCCCTGCTGCAGCCATTGCTTCGCTAGGCAAAACTGCTTTCGGGGGTGGGGAGGGTGCACGAAAGAAGAGGAGGAACTAAGCTAGCTTTGAGACTGATGCATCTCCCAGGGTCATCTCCGGAATATAAAAGTGGAGATAAAGAAGGAGGCGGGGGGGTATGTGTGTGTGGATGTGTGTGTGAGAGAGAGAGAAAGAGAGAGAGAGAGAGAGGGAGAGAGAATGGGCGAAAGAGAAAGGCGGCTAGGAGGTGGGAGGCAGCATGCAGCCTAAGGAG